TTCAGTAAGACCATGCCAAGAAAACAGTAGCAAGGGTCACAGATCAGCAGCCCTTGGACCACATCCAGTCTGCCTCTATTCATGTATTATTTGGTCTACACAACATGATAAAAATCAGGAAATGTCAAAGCTTTCATTTTTTAAAAATCCCCAGAGGCCAATATTACCTCAAGACAGAGCTGAGTGGAATTACAGAGTCACCGCTCTCTGCCTTACACTCAGCATGCCCCCCTCATAGGTGTTCCCTGCTTGTCCCCATTGGCATGTGAGTCTTTAATCTTTACTCTGTGGAAGTGAAGCGTGATTGGTTAAGATTATACAGGTTGAGCAGTGACTGCTCCATGAGTTAGGAGAAATGCCCAACAGAGGAAAGTTGCTTTCATGAAGCTTTCTTTAAGTGCAAGTTTAACTTTTCTGTAATGCTGCCATTCAGAATCTGAAGTTAGATTACACCTTGGAGTTCTCTAAATTGTTTTCCCTTTCAAAGCAGACATGAAATGTTTTCATTGACAGGGAGCTTATCCCCTTAAAAGCTAATGCGTGCAATTCTAGTTTAAAACCATGTTTCTTAACTGTTTTTTAAACTATTGCCCCAATCTCTGAGATTTTTGTCCAGCTCCTTCTCTTTGTCTCCTGACCACATATATTCTGTCTTCCAAGACTGAAGATCACTAGTTTAGAAGGGGTCTGACTTCTTTGACATTTATTTGCCTGCTAGTCCTGTTCTGTTCTCAGTGTACATCTATATCCCAGACCCGGGCCACCCAAGACCCGTTGGGTATTTGAAGGCAAATAGCAAAAAGAAAGCTGCTTTTTCAGCCTGTTCAATTTCGTAAACATTTAACTTTAATTTTGTAAAAATTTAAAAAATATACATAGTAATAAAAATGACAGTAATAGAATTATGTTTCCTTTTAAATGTATAGTTCTAATATATAGCTTTTTTGTTTTGTTTTGGGGGTGATTAGGTTTATTTGTTTGTTTGTTTTTAATGTAGGTGCTGGGGATTGAACCCAGGACCTTGTGCGTGCTACACACGCACTCTACCACTGAGCTATACCCGCCCCCCCAATATATAGGTTTTTAACATATAGCTTTAGCCATGTGAAATGTATTGTCAGATAAGTTACTTCTTTGGAAATCTTTTATACTGTTTGTGTTCTGAAAATCAGTATAATGTTGTCCTCATTAAATATAGCATCTTACACCCCCACCCCAAAACTGAAAATACGTTTTACATGATTTACCATTCAATCCTAGTATATAAACTGTACCTTTTTTCCAGGTTACAATTATATATAAATCTTCCTCAGTCCATTTCCTTTGTGCTTAAAACTTGCCACACTGTCATAATTTTCTCAGATTTACTTCATGAATTTTTATCCTTTCAACAAGTTCTCTTGGAGTTCACATCTTAACATTTGTATGTATGTTTGGTGTTCAGCTGGCAGCCGATCTGGGTCTCCAGGAAGAGTTCTGACCACTACAGCCCTGTCTACTGTGAGCTCTGGTGTACAAAGAGTCCTGGTCAATTTAGCCTCAGCACAGAAGAGAAGCAAGATACCGCGAAGCCAGGGCTGTAGCAGAGAGGCCAGTCCATCTAGGCTCTCAGTGGGTAAGGTTTTCTGTGTAAAACTGGGGACCTTGAATTTCTTTTGTATTTCAGGCTTTGGTGACATTAAAGACATCAATTTAGGCACTTCTAAGTTAGAGGAAAACAACTTACAATTCAAGGAGAATTGAAATACAGGTTAAAAATTGAATTAGATATAATCTTGAAAGTATAATTCATTTAAATTTTTAATCTTTTTATTCACAGCTTTTTTATTTTTGTAAAATATTATTTTATACTTCTAATTATACAAACTAGAAGACTGTATTCAAGAATTTTAATGCTATTCCTGGCAGTGCTTCATCAAGAATCATTTCTTCTCAACCTTAGAAAAACTTAAGTTATTGATTAGTTTTTGAGAAAGAAAAAATAAAACCAAAATATCGAAAATCCACATCCTGTTTCCTGTTTACTCCCCTTCTATGCTGCTGTTGCTTCGTACCAGCCCGAAGCAGTCGTATTCCTCGACCAAGTGTGAGTCAAGGGTGCAGCCGGGAAGCCAGCCGGGAGAGCAGCAGGGATACGAGTCCTGTTCGCTCTTTCCAGCCCCTTGGTAAGTGTTTGGGCAGGTGTGAGGTGTATTGCTTTCCCACTGTGGGAAACATACCTTGGATTTGGCTTTCTTCATCAACTGTATCTCTTGTGTCACTTTGAGGAGAGTCCGAAGGAAATTAGATGTATGGGGAATTCCTTTCACATTTCCTTGTGTTAAATGAGCAAGTTAAACATTGTATGAACAAATTGCCTTCATGATCAAGTAAATAGCATGCAAATTTAAACTACAGAATATTGAATGCAAGATTTTTCATAACAAATAACCCTATAAATGTAAATATTTACTCTTACATGAAATGTGGACTATTTAGTTTGGTAAAATTATATATACTTTTGTCCTTTCCAGCAGAAATATTAACATTGCACCTTAGGTATTTAACTTAAGTTACCAGAAAGAATGCTACAAGATAATATATGTGCTACTTATTAAAATGGGAAGGATTAATGTTTTTATAGTATTTTATAGCCATTTCCCATGTATTAGCTCATATCATGTCACTGTTGTAAAATCTATCCGTCCTTAATTATAGAGTTTGTAGTATAGCCTTGATTATAAAGCTACATTTACCTCAATAATAAAAATATTAAATTTTTTTAAACATTTGGTATTTTAGAATAATTGGAGAGGCAGAACTTTTTTATGTTGAAAATCTTTAGAATTTCTGCATGATCCTTCAGCATTTTAACTAGTACTCTGTTTATATACACATACCTATAGCCATTTCATATTTTTTTCTTTTAATTCCATAACATATAGGTTACTATAATACTTAGAAAGTTGCTCTTCAGACTTTGTAACACTGAAGTAGAACACAGTTCTATTCATTGTCTATTGGAATTACTGTTTCCTGCAATAGACGTGTTAGTATAGTTTCTAGAGATTAATTTCTTGTTCTCTGGGCCATTTGGCACAAATATATCACTACTAGACTATCCTATACTGACCTAGAAAACCCATTTAAGCTAGGGACACAGACAGTGGTATCCTCAACTCTTGTTTGTGTTCCAGAGCCAGGTGCCAAAGAGTTTCCCTTTCTGTCTTTCCCAGAGATATATGTAGTTCATGTACAGCATACAGTAGACTTAGTCTGTACAGTGTCTGTCGATATGTGTATGCCCACGCATGCGTGTGTGCATGCGCGCACACACACACACACATACATGGTACATCCTCATGCATATATGTTTCAAAAATGAAATAAATCCTACGTCTGTACAAAATAAGCATGCCGCCTTGAGTTGAAGGAAGCAGAGTGGGTGTGTGGTAGTTTAAGAGCATATGTTCTAGGGTCATATGGCCTTGTTGATACCCCACCTCTGTAGCTGTTCTATAGCTGTTCTCTGTAGCTGGGTTTCCTCATCTATAAAACTAGGATAATAGCATGTACTTCTTAGCGTTGATTTGAAGGCACTGTAAATGACACAATACATGAAATAACCCCTGAGAGCAGTGCTTGGCACACAGTGAGCACGTGGTTATTGTGGTTATCATCACTGCCGCCCACCGCTGCTGCTCCACCTCTTCCCCTTAAACTCTTCTTGCTTACCTACAGTTAGTTGTGTACACTTTAGTGGCAAGGATCTTTGATTTTTACTGGTATAAACCTACATTTGTTTAATGTAGAGTTAGTAGAAAATGTGAGATACATCAAGAAGAAGCAAAAGTATGTTTCTGTACCATTTAAACCTGTACAATAGTCAGAGATTAGAGGATATTTATAAACAACTTCTAATTACTTAATAAATATTGTTAATATGCTTATTTTTAAAGAGATATTTTATCTAGACATTAATTTTCTAGATTTATCTCAAAGCCTCCATTTGCCAGTTTAAATCGTTTGAATGTTATTATTAAAGGAGGCAGTTTTCCTGATTCTAATGGAACATCCTATTTGGGTTAAAGGTGGTTAAACTTTTTAATCATACAGTTTTAGAAGAATTGAATTTTATAGCCCTTTTATTTACATATGGATACTGCATAGTAAAGGTAGCAGATTATCCTTGTTTATTACAGAGGGATGAAGATAGCATTCTCAGAGATCAAGTTGTCCCTTTCATTCCCATTTTTCTGCTGCATTTGCCTGCATTCTGTTGTCTTTATTTACTTGGTGAATCCTTTTGTCGCCTCAGATTTGAGTGTTGCCATTCAGCAGATGAATCCCATAGCTTGCCATCTATTCAGTTGTAGCACAAGACCAACGTGAGGGCCCTAAAGCACCAGAAGTAAATGAGAGTTGAGCAAAGCTGAACTTCTGGAATCTTGCACTCTTAGTTTCCATCTATTTCTGGAACCAAGATTCAATAAAAAGGCTTACACTATGGCAAGCACTTGAGTGTTCCCTTCAGCCACAGATAACTATTGATTTCAAAAGGTTTTCAAAATTCTTCGTCTGTTAAAGCATTTCCATATTGGTTCAACTCTTCTTTATCATTTTAGAAATTATTTCTCTTGGGTAAAATTGAAACTAACTATATATTAGTATGCTTTATTAACGATACCAATCAACTTTTAGGGTCTGGTTAAACATTGTATGCACCATTCTCTCTTTAACCTTCTCTATCAGTCGTTCTGATCATTTTCTTATTCCTCAAGGTCCTGTGGCAAAGGAAAGAGTAATTCATGTAATAAAAAGTATTTTCACTGTTCTCTTGAATATATCTGAAGCAAGTAACTTTTAAAATAAGAGTAATATATTTCATTATACAATAAAATGAATTTTTCCTGACTTGTTTGTGTGTGTAAGAAAAAGGCTCACTTTATGGTGCTAAGAAAATCAGGATTCTAAGATCTAAAAGGCCGTTTTGATTAAATTATTAAGATTTCTTTTTTGGTGTTCAGATGTGCTTTGATATTTAAATAACCTACTGAATACAGAACGTATATCCTATGAACCATTATAGAAAATGACTGTGTTAACATAAATGAGGTATGTTATCTTTTGAACAATGTAAAGATGGTTTGCGTACTGCTACAAGCAAAGACCTTGAAAGAGTGCAGATACTGAGGGGTGGGGGTGGCTTTGATCAAATTAATTAACCTTTCTCTATGCTTTGGTTTACCCATTTATAAAACTGAATAGTTAATAACTGCCTCACTGGGTTCAGGACTAGTGGAGATGGGATTATTATTGGTTACTAGTTACCATAGTGGTTTTTTTTTTTAACTACAGTGTTCATTCTTTTTTGTTTCATGCTTGTGCTCTTGACATTTCCTTCCATTTGAATACTTGCTTTTTTCTGTCTTGTGTGGACTTGTCTGTCCCCATAGGTGTAAGATCTGTTGTGTGTCAAGGATGATGTTGCAATGCTAATGTTCAGTTGCCCCATTTGGCAATATTCTGATCCTTAACTATTAATAGTAATACTACCATTGTTAACTAACTCTCCTTGCCTGACTGTAGTGCTGCCACTATTCCTTGTTTCTGTAGTAATAGATGAGGTTTGTATGGTCCTGTTATTCCAGCCTCCAGACACCATTCCAGATCTACTGGTGCCCTCTACGCCCCCGATGTGTATGGGGCCTCAGGTGAAGGATGAGTACATTTTCACTATCATCTGTGCATTCATCTCAGATTTTTTTCTTTTCGGTTTCCGTTGAGTAATCATGTTTTAAAATTGATTTGTTTTCTTTAAGTTTAATTTGTTGGAGAAGAAATCATTTATGTTTTTTTTTTAATTTTCCCCAAGTAACTTTTTTCCCTTCAGCAATCTTATTTGAACACCTTTCTCACTGGCAGATGGACATTTTTCCTTTGTATAACATAAGTTATGTCATTTTAAAATATAGAGTTGTTTTATGTTCTCAGTTATGTACTTCATCTTTGTATATATGTTTAAAAAAAAAAACCAAAATGGTGGATGAAGTGTTTTAATTGTAAATGATGGTCTAGAAAGTAGTTGAGGGGAAAACCCATCTATGGTTTGTCTTTACATACCTCAGAATACCGGGCACATAGTAGGTGCTTAACAGATACCAAGTGATATGACAGTTAGTGAATGGAATCACCCTATTTTGAAGAAGAGGTAATAACTGGAGGGTTTTTCCCTCGTAAATTCCTGGCGTGGCTTCATTGAGCTCCCTAGTCGTTACTGGTATGAGGATTGAGCTTTGTTCTGGGCTACTCTGTGGCTCACCCATATGGGTGAGATTTGCCTGACTGATGGAGCTGGATTAATTACAAGACTATAGATTTGCAAGCCCTTAGTTAGCCAGCCATGCTTTCTTCTATCTTCTGGTCATAAATGTACCATTGCTGCTGTTCTTTAAATTTATTTCCCACACACTGTCAGTGATTTTAATTGCCTTTACCCTTTTATTTGACTGAAACTAAATGTACCCAGAGAATACAATATTGCTTTTAAAATGCTTTGCCCCATTGGTTTTTTTTTTTTTCCTCCCCTTAAGGATCTTATAGTTTCCAACCTGACACAGTTACATTTACAGCTCTCTCAAAGCTGTTTTCTTTCTTCTGATCTGTTAGGTCCGGGGTATGGGATCAGCCAGTCAAGCCGGCTGTCATCCTCTGTCAGTGCCATGCGAGTCCTGAACACAGGTTCTGATGTGGAGGAGGCGGTAGCAGATGCCTTGGTACTCTTCTCCATTTCCTTATCGTTATAAATGTTCCAGTTATCGAGCTAGTGTATGAGTGAGCCAGTCCCCCAGAGTGGGAAAGGAAGTGGGAAAATTCCTGTGGATTAAATCTAGGAAGATCAAATGTGGGCAATGCAAAAAGCAGGACAGTATAATTCTCAATCTTTATTAATTGGTCAGAATTTGAAGCCAAGGCCCATAATAATTGATGAGATATCATGAGTATAAATATTGATATTGTTAATCTGGTGATGTGTTTTATGCACTGTAGTACACTGAGAATAATGACAGATAGATTAATATATAAATATGTATACAGTATATAAATATGTACCCAATAAGCATGTAGTTTCAAGGCTAGCTTAACATTGAGTATTTAGGGGTTGCTTTAGTTTGGGATTGGATTGTGTTTAGTCTTTTACTTACCCGTATTTTCTGAGCTGAGAGAAAGTACACCTTCAAAACAAATTATAATTAAAAAATCTTTCTGGCCCTTTATGCCTTATGCATTAATAAAACAGTGAGGTTTAAAAACATGATCTACAGATCCATGATAGTTTGTCAGAGGAATGCTATACATATACCACTGTTATTTTTCTTACTTAAAATTATGAAGGAAGTATTTGAAACAATGATTATAATTGGCTTTTACCAGTTTCCCAAGTCAATTCAATATGATTCTTCGTCTTTCAGATTACAATATTAATGCTCTATTTGAGAAGCATTTACTCAGTTTCTTACCCAGATCTTATAGAAGTCATCATCTTTGTTTTGAAATTTTAAAAAAAATTATGTCTTTTAAAACTGCATATCAGCTCTTAACCAGTGTTGATATAATACAGTATTTGCCATATATTTGAAAAACAAGTTTTTAAAAATATTCATTGGTCATAGCTGTACTATGTTACATGTAGTCACATGTATAGTTCTGGTCTGACAGTCTGTATGTGCTGAATTTTTCTCTTTACCTCAGCCATTTGATTATTTTTTATATAAATTAATTAAGTAGGGACTTTGTTCTCTTGAACTTGGGGTATATTGATCACATCTTGTTTTGGTGATATTAAATTAACTATATGTTTTAAATTTACTGTTCCTCATCAATGTATTTCTCATATGTTTTTTAGTTTCTTTTAAATGGGTGATTTACTGATTAAATTCTATAACATAAATTTTATTAATTGAATGGGTTATTTTTGAACTATTACTTATAATCCTAAGATGTTGTATTTGAATTATATGAGGAACATTGAGCTACTAGGGCTAAAAGCTGAATCCCAATAATTTGATTATATCTACTTTCATTATTTGCATGGCATAGATATTCCAGTTACAACTATCAGGAGAACACTAACCAACTGTTAAGCCTAATTAGACCTAGGGGAAAAATCATAGAAATAAAATTAACTTTGGAAATGACAGAACAATCCAAATGGGAAGAAGACTTGAGTTTCTTTGGGAAAACTGATTATGAGAGTATTTTTGTGGCTTAGATATTTCCCTTTTGACTAAAGAATGTTGGCGAGATTAAAGATATAGTCTGCTTATAAGCAGTCCTTTTGTATCTATATATTTTAAAGCTTAATGTTGCTGATTATGGGCATTGTTTATGCCTACTTCACTGTGCTGTTTAGCAAAATGTTCTTCATTATTTTCAATTTTTCTCTTTAAAAATCTACTGCTCTCAGCTCTTAGGAGACATACGGACTAAGGTATAGATATTGCTATTTTCTGACATCTTATGATACCGTAACTTTTTTTCTATGCTTCATCAGTTTAACAGATGATAGTCTTCTATAAAAAAAATCAAGTGGAAATAATAAAATCTTTAGACATGCATCATTTTTTCAATACATACGATTATCAGGAGGGAGATAGTGCTTAAATAGAGTGTCCCGTGAGGGTTCTTGTCCTTTAAGCCTGACTACTTTGTACAAATGAGATGATGTCATTCACCCTGATGTCTGTAACAGAACTGATCCTGAAGCCCAACACAGGAAATATCACATTTGCCATTCTAAATTATGTCGATGTCTCTAAATCAAATTAGTGATGGAAATGTCATTATAAAAAACTAGTTCAAGTTTGAGTTAAGTTCAAGTTATCTTTCTTTTAGATTTTAAACTTTGGAGAATTTAGTCACCTGGAACTGTTTTAAATTATTGTGCTTAACATGTTTCATAGTACTATCTTCACCATTCACCAGGCTAAATTCAGGTATCAGATTGCATAAAGATTTATTTCCAGTTCTTCCAAGAAAATCCCAAATAAGCAATTTACTCTCTCTCATTTCACTTTCAATATTCAAGGTATAATTAGCAGTTGCAGTTATTAAATGATAAGCTTCAGATGTAAAGAAATCAAAGGAATCTGAATATGCTTTCTCATATTGATTGAAATAGACTGTATAGACACATTGGGAAAAACACAGAAGGACTCTCAAGGAGCTTGCCTCCCAAAATAATAGTAAGCACCACAGGTTCTCATCGTTCTTTGTCTGTATCTCACTTCTCTAGGAGACATCAGGGTTGGGTACAAGGGAAAAAAGAGTAGCAAGAAAAGTCACAGTGGAAGTAAAAGAAGGATAGTGGAAAGAAGGGAGAGACAGGAAAACTTTACATGGGGGAACGTGTTTCTGATCCATTGTCCATTTTCTGACCCATTCTTATCCTTTAAAAAGGTAATAATTTCTTCTTAACAACTCACATTTTTAGTACAGTTTCTGTTCATTTATACTCTAGTAGTTCTTTTTGGTTTTCCACAAAAAGGAAGGAGGAAAGGAAATGCCCCCCGTTTTTGTGCACTCCCCACTTTACATGTCTAAACTTCCATGTAGTTATCTTACTCCCCTTCTCCCACTCCCCATAGTTAAAGAATAGTCCATCTTCTACTAACTCCTAAAACATTTTTTCTGAAGAAAAACTAAATGTTGACTTTTTGTTATTACAGTGATTAGCAGCATGCTTTGCACTGATTTTTAAAAGAAAAACCAGTCCTTTCATGATCAGTAGAAATTGTGAAATACTGGTGTATTATCTAAACTACCATTTGATGAGAGTCTTTATGTGTAACAGAAAAAACCTGCTCGAAGAAGATACGAGTCGTATGGGATGCATTCAGACGATGATGCCAACAGCGATGCATCCAGTGCTTGTTCAGAACGCTCCTATAGCTCTCGGAATGGCAGTATTCCTACATATATGAGGCAGACAGAAGATGTGGCAGAAGTCCTCAACAGATGTGCTAGTTCCAACTGGTCGGAAAGGAAGGAAGGCCTCCTGGGTCTGCAGAACTTATTAAAAAATCAGAGAACGCTAAGGTGAGTTACTTTCTCTTAAAATAATTGTCCTGTCAGGTTAGCACTTTTTGACTTGACTTTGTTTTCATAACACTTTAAAGGTACTGGTATGCTTTCATACTTGTCCTGAATTCAGAAGGTGGCATCAAAGTATCTTCCCAAGCCTTAATCCTTTAGGACCGTCTATACTATCATTATTTTTTTTAATTTAATTAACTTGTTCTATTTAAAGAAAGAAACATTTTAGAATGAAACTTTTTATTCACAAAAAGAAGTTAAATATAATAAGTTACTGATTTTTTAAAATAAAAATAAATAGTAAAATATACATATTTAAAACTGACAAATTTATTAAAATTCATTCCTGATAAGTTTTTCAGTGAGATGAAAGAATATTTATGCTCACCCAAAAATGAAGATATAGTTTTGGTGTTTGGTGTAATATTTGAGCCTTGGTGTAATATGAAATGTAATTGGAGTGAATTTCTCTAAGGACAGAAGTTTATATTGGTTTTTAGTTGAGTTTGATTTGGCTTCCTTTCCTAATGGCTTTTGCTTGCTTTTCCTCTCTAAAATCTTTATTGTCTTTATCTGTGTAATGTTTTAAACCTCTGTAGTCTACCCCTTTAAGAACCTGGTTCAGATAATTCATAAGGTCGAGTATGCTGGATAACAGAGGGCTACTTCCTGACTTGATACGTGAAATCAGGGTTTGGTTTACTAGCTGTGTATTTATTTTGAGAAATAATTAGAACTAAGTAATTTAAAATAAGTGTTTATGTACTGCCTAATATATTTTAATGTTGGCATATCACACTTCATGAATCACTGCAATAGATGATCATAGTGTTGTTCCCAGCCCCATTAGATTAGGATAACATAAGATTCAGTGTATCATTTTAAATGGCACATTAGTAATCATAATTTAGAAAGATTTTAGTCCTCAGATGGCAATTAAGAGATTGATTCATATACTGGGAATGTCATTTGTATAGTTTCCTTTGTCTTGCTACAGTAATGAAATAAAGTTATTTCTTTTTATATAACTTTCAACCTTTAAACTAGTGTGTGTTACAACAGAATTGTTGTTGCATTTGGTAAATTTATATTTAGCCCTGACTGATAAAATCCAAAAATTTCTCAATTTTATGGGCTGATTTTTTAGCCTTTTTTAAGAAGCCCAATTATATGTAAGATCACTTTTAAATTACTTCTTCCTACAGCAAGATATTAATTAGCCACTTTATTATTTTGACAGTCGAGTTGAACTGAAAAGATTATGTGAAATTTTCACAAGAATGTTTGCTGATCCTCATGGCAAGGTATGTTTTAGTATTTAAGGTTATTTTTGTAGGGTGTCATTCATATATTACCCCCTCAAAAAAAGAAGTAAAATAATAACAAAAAACCGTAAGACACTTTTATTTTATTATTGCCCCGAAAATGGCAATGATTTTAAAAACATAATTGAAATCAAGTATTTGATATCATACATAATTTAGAAACTGCTCTCTGGTAATCATTAAAATGTTTTCAAAAAGAGATTGTCTAAGACCATAAACTGAAGGATGTAACAAGCACACTCACATATAGGTAGTCAGGGTGAGTGTATTTGTATCACTAAAAACATTTTACTATTTGTAGAGGAAATAATTGGGATAAGTTGGAAAAAGTTTCTTATTTTTTATTAAGTTTTCTTCTCTATTGATGTAAATATATTTTTATCTTAAAAGAGCAATTTTGTAGAAAAGAATTGCCATTAAATAACACAAAAGCACAACCATAGTTTGGTACTAATATAAAAGAACCGTTTCATATATTGAAATAGTTCATAAAAATCTTCAGAACACTGTTGAATGTTTAATGTTGATTGAAATATATTTAAGTACTTTGCATAATCTGCATGTGTACTGGGAAATTGTGATTTACCTTGATGGATAGTACTGTTGTAAAATGTATTCATTTATTCTGTTTTCAGCAATGTGATTGACAATGGTGAAACTTTATTCAATATCTTCCTTTAGGACCACAGATGTCTACATGAGAATTTCTAACCTAAGTGAGAGGGAAATCATAAGAAAAAAATTAATTAATTTCACTTTATTGTTTTTTTAATTGTCTTTACTTTATTGTTGCACATGTCATTTCCTCCTCATTTTTTTCTGTTTTCATTACTTGTGACACTACTTAAAGATACTAAAATTCCACTTTATATATAAACTAAAATCTAGCTAAGGATTATAAATTGCTTTTACTTTAAAACAATAATTTTTAAAGGTTATCTTTTTATGAGAAGGTATATTTATTTTAACCAATGCAAGATCCTATTAAAGACAGATTAAAGTACACTAACTTTATAACTTTCAAACTGAGCATGTACATAACTGTACCATTTTATACTGATATTGCTACCACTAACTACAGCTGTAGGAATTGCTTTACTGCAAAAATTTCTGTAAATCCTGAACAGATTAGCTGTTGACATTTTTTGTTGGCAGTATGAGTCAGAGGACAAGACACTTATGATCTGGGTGGGCCTATTTTATTAAAAGATATTTTAACTAATAATCTATACAACTTTTTAGAGCTTTAAAACATCTTCAATAAGTGATCTGATTCTTCTCTACTAGAAGGTATAAGACTGAAGCTGGATAATTTCTTGAAGTCACGGTTTTTTATTTTTTATTGGGACAATAATGCAGTTTTGTAGGATACTAGGATTTACACAGTAATAAAGAAAAACACTTTTTTAAAAAAGTCTCTTGAAGATCAAATAGAAAAGTTGAGTTTGATAGTGGTGAAAGAACTGAACTGAGTACAAATGTTTGACCTCCCCTTAGTAGATGTGGAGAACCAGCTAAGTCCTACCTAGAGTTCTCAGGAAGGTGGCTTTTTGGTTTTTCTCCATGGGGTTTGTAACAGCATACAGTTGATCCATTTGGCTTTGCCTGGTTTGGTTTTTGGTTTTTTAGTTCCGTGAATATAAACATAATGGGAAGATTTTTGTTAATTTTTTTTGTTTGTTTGACTTATTTGGTGATTGTTCATCAGAGGCTCTGCCAATAAGGTAATTCATTAAGAATAAAATGAATATGTCACTATACTATGCCAAGTTAAAAATGTCAGGGCTGGATTTGAGTTTCTGCATTTTATCCTGATACTGTTAAAATAGTAGCTATCTCCCCTCCCTTTTTTAATGTATCTTTATTAAGTACTAACAGTCCGGTCTTCAGGATCAAGCAGCTGTTTTTGATACTTTCTTTTCTTTCTAAATACAAGTTTGTTCTCTATCAAGGGTAGACCTTTTCTTTTCTTTCTTTTTTCCTATAAAGGCTAGTAAATACTTGCGGCTTGGTGGGCCATAATGGTCTCTGTGACAACTACTCAATTCTGCCATTATAACACAAAGGCATCCATAGACAATATGTAAACAAATGACCATGGCTGGGTTGCAATAAAGCTTTATTTATGAATATTGAAATTTTAATTTTCATATAATTTTCATGTGTCACTAAAAAGCCTTTTGTTTTGTTTTCTTTAAACATTTTAAAATGTAAAAACCATTCTTAGCTCGCAGACCACAGTTTGCGACCCCTGTTCTGTATGATTGACTCTGGTCATTGATGCTGAAATAAAAACATGTATTCAAGAACACTTGCTCATGCTCATGCTCTTGCCACTGGTTGAAGGTTAGGACTTTTGAAGGGAAACAATGTACTGGTCGCTGCTGGGTGAAATCAGCCCTGTTATTCCTGAATATTCCTGCCATTCTCCAATTCTGATCCGTAGTTTTTGTCTAAATGCTCAGTATGCCTTGCCTCTTCCTCTTGTTTTTCTCTTCTGTCCTTCATGGAGACTGTGTCAAGTAGTATCTCCTCAAACTCTAGCCTTCTTCACCTCCCCACCCATCTCATGCCCAAAGCATATGTCCTGGCCTCTTAGCTTACCAAGAAAGTAAAAGGCATCAAGCAGAAACTCCAGACCAGCAAACTTAACTGCACATAAACCCATTCTTTCTACTTTTTCTTCTTTGAGAATGAAAGGAGGGTTCACCTTGAGGCATAAAAACATACTCTGGTTTTTGCTAATATGGTCTCATCTGCTTGGTCTTCCAGAAATTTCTCAAAATTTCAGTTTGCTGTTTGAGATCCCTTTTCATTTTTCAACTTTGTTGTGAGTTTTCTCAGTGCATCTTTTCTGTCATTTAAGGACTGTGGTGTGGGAGAGGAGGAGGAGGGGCTTTTCTGTTGCGCCTGCTCCATCACCCTCACACCAGTTCTTCTACTTTAACTTTCAGACACTTATCTCTCTGCTTGTTTTAGTGATGTTGGTGTTGGTTAGTGCGTTGCCCTGGGCCATCTTTCTCCTCTTGGTACCTTATCTGAATCATAAATTACCCACTTTATCCTAATGGCTCTCAAGTGGTACTTCCAGCCCATATTTCCTGCACTTTCTTAGTCTTTTTGGTTATCTTCAGCCTCAAAACTGCTCTTCCTCCTACATTGCACTATCTCATTTGTTGAAAGCACCATCCCCTCATTGCTCAAGTGAGGAATCTGGGCATCATTCTAGAAACTTACTCAGTCCTAATTGATTCAACGTTCTTAACAGCTTTCCATTCTCACTAGTAATTCAGGGGACAGTTGTCTTTAGTCTGCTGCACCCCCTGTCCTTAAATTCTCCTCTGCACTGCATCCTTGAGTAATCTTTCTAAAAGGTAAATCTTCTCTAGGCTCTTAATTGTTTCTTTTTAGAGATCTCTGTAAGAAGGCATTCTTCTTTTGATAATGTTAAATGTGTAAGTTTTGGGTGACATGTAAAACCTTTTTTAAAGGGTTTTCTCAAAGTTTTGAAAAGCAATTAGCAAGGATTATGGTTCAATAAGACGTAACATTATTCCTTTAAAAAACTTTGTGTGTAGAGTTAAGAAGCAGTTGTACACTTACAATCTAATAAAATAATTCTAAAGGAAAATAAATAAATAAAAGGTAAATCTTCTCTACTACCTTAAAACCCTTCAGTGACTACTCATTACCCTCAAAAAAATATCCGGGCGAAGCCTATCATCTTTGCTTGTCATTCCTTTCTCACTCTCAACCCAGCCTGAAAAGTATGTTGACTTCTTCAGACGTGCCATGTGCTTTTCCTCACAGCCTTCAAATAGACTCTCAGGGACACTTCTCTTTCTTCCTCAAACACTCTGAATTGAAATCTCTTATCTGTAACCTCAACTATCCTGAAAGCTCACAGGACAGAAACTGTCTGAGGCCTTGTCCTCATCATGGAGGCACCTCATACCATGAGCTAGGTTGGGTGGATTTTCCCATGTACTTTTATGTTGAAGTCCACATTTCAGTCTCTATGTTAACAGCTTCTGGATAGTAGCTGGCTTCCATGATAACTGAAAGTTATTCTCACTTCTCCTAGACATGATTGAGACTACCTGGTGTCCCAGCAGAAACAGGGTACTTAGAGAACCAGGTTGGAGCAGCGGCTGCATCTCCTTTCATCTAGAATCACCTCCAGCCCCCAGAATGTTTCTCTTATCTATTTTAGAGTATGCATCTGAGTCCAACTAAAATATCAGGCTAGCTCTGGTATCCAGTGCAAACATTCCAGAAAGGAAGGTCTGGAAAAGAGCTCTTTCTGAATACAGTTAAAGTAGATGCTGGATTTTTTTCCTGGGACAGCAGGAATGTGGTTGGTAAATACAGTTTATAAGCTGAAATTATTTGATTATCTGTAACTTGATAAGTAAACTTTTTTTTTTTTGCTTAAGATACCAGTGATCAGTCACAGTTTATGTTTGATAGTAATTTAGTCTACAAAGCTGCAAATGTATAATTTAAAGCCTCTTAGTATTTTTCTAAGAGATTCAGCACAACATAGTGATAACAGGTACGGATAGTGGAGCTGGATTGCTCGCATTCTGCCTCCATCACTTCTGTAAAATAAAAGTAATAAGATTGGGAGATGATTAAATAAGTTAATATTTGTAAAACTCTTATAACACACCAAGCACTATGTAAGTTTTTAGAAACTAAATAGTTTGAAAAATTAAGGAATTCAGGGCAGATTTTTATCGTGACTACTCTAGACCCACTTTTTCCCCTCAAATGTAAGGAGTGTCAGATGCCAAAAGCCCCTGTGGTTCTGACATTTGACTTTGAAGGAACTGCTTGAGAAGAGCCACCTTCACTGAAGTGCAGGCTTTGAATTGACATTTTATGGTCTGTGTAGTCCTACCTCTTGAAGTCCTGAATTTCGTCTGCGGCTACTAAAGCGGGGCACAGCTGAGTGCCCTGCTTATAAAGTCATGGCTGGTCTCCTGATGTTCTAGGCAGCTCAGGATCAGGAGACCAAAACATACACCTTATGTGGGAAAATTAAAAGTTGTGGCATGGTTCCTTTTTACCTCCAAACAATAGTAACTGTTCCAAGCCTTCACAGAAATAATTTAACTTGTAAATGCATTGCTTCTGAAGAGGAAAAAAAAGAGAGATAAGATAAAAATTCTAGATACTGTGTTTTGGGAGCAAATGTTGGCCCTGTTTAGAAGTTTTGACAGGTATCTCTTAGTCTTAGATTCTTTTTAGAAGTTGAGCCTCAAGGATAATGGGGTCCGGAAAATAAGGGAATTTTTGTTTTTAGATTTCCTTGGCAAGGAGGTGAGAGAAAAACACAGGAAAATCACATACTTTTCTCCCATACTGTTCATTTAACTCTTGTTTTTAAAAACTGTTTTGAGTTTACCATAAAACTTTGAAAAATATGTGTCACTTTTATTTTCTAAGTGTTTTTCTTCCATACAGGAACTTGGCATTGATGGCGACTAATTTGTGTGTTTTTCTTTTTTTTTCTTTTTTTCCTTTTGCATGCTGTCCCCTGTGTTGGAACTCTCAATAGAGAGTAAGTTGGTTCAATATTTGTTGGAAACCTAACTTTACTGCATGACTGTGAAATTAACCCTTTTTCTCTATTTTCTCTCCCGAAGAGTTCATGCAGTGTTGGACCCTTTGCAATCCACGAAATGCTATTTGCAGTTATGCAAACTGTCATTCTGTTTGGAGATGTGCTTTTTAATCTACTAATTAATCTAATTTGATTATGTTCTTCTGTTCTGTATTTGATGACTGGCACACCTAAGATACAAGTGAGGTTTAGAGAAGGCTGCCTCAATTGTAATAGTTCAAATAATAGAATTTTTTTCCAATAAACTACTGTTGTGGGATATGTGAGATTATAAGTTGATTCCATTGAAGGTTGGTTTCATTGAATTTATTAAAAAAAATAATTCCCAAGTTTCACGATTATTTTTTTTAATTGAGTTCCAGCCTCCCCACATGCAGTTTGTAATATTCTATTAATATCATTCCATGAAAGCAAACAGAGCAGTTTAAGGAGCCGTTAAGAGCAACTTTCTCTTTTGAAGTCAAATTTTTAGCCCTAGTATTATATTAGTATATCCACTTTCCTCTTTCTTCTTTAATCATAGACAAGGAAATGAGAGAATATCAAAATCTGACAGTGAACTCTTTGCCATACAGCAATCAAGTAAGAAATGTTACGAGAAATTTCCAATATATATTTTGAATATATATATATACATATATATATATATATATAAATACACACACACACACACACACACATATAAATGTACGTATTTATCATTTAGTAAGTACCATTGACAGGATATAAGTATTTTGGAAAAAATAGTATAATTCTGTATGTGGAGTACTGTAAATAACATGCCTACATTCTTATTCAGCTGTACTCACATTATATCTAATTAAAAGAAATATCTACTTAGGAGAATAACAGTTCAGATCTTGACAGAAACATAAACTTTGGATTATGTCAGCAAGAGAAGAAAGTACCTACCAAGAATGACTAGCCTGAGTCCAAAGAAGTAGGAGGTGTCAGAAAATTTATATGAAAGAAAAAGAAAATGTTGGCTGGAATGTAAGGAAGGTCTTACATATCTTCCCTTGCATTAAGAAAACGAGTTGGATACCAGCTACAGGGTTTTACTTGCTTAGGGGAAAATCCTTACTCTTGAGGAACTCTTCCTGCACTTCAATTGAATGACTTTTTATTCGTCCTCAGCCTCTGATAACTTTAGGCTTGGTTCTAATTAGAGATGTAAGACTAGAAATATAGTTTCTATTCTCAAATGTTATTATGTTCCAGATGCGAAGATAATATAAATACAGAAAAAGTGAAATAGCACCAAAGCTAGTCCTACTTCCCACCACTAGTTCCAAGTGATGATCAGTGACTGTTATCTGAAGAGATCCACGAAGCTTTCTGGGTGAGACTGGAGTGGGAAGCTTTGTAGGGAGTCATGCACTATGTGTAAGTAGGGGGAGGAGGAAGTGTGGTAGGAAATCAGGAGTGGATGTGAGGTGTGTGAGGGACAGAGTCCAAGATCAGTTCAGAGAGTTAGAGCCTTGTCTAAGCATTTATGACATGATTCTGTAGACAGTAAAGTGACATTAAGGGATTTTGTTTCTATCAAAAGACTGTAATTACAATCTGATGGTGAGAAAGAGGAATGAGTTGGCCTGGCGCCTGTTTTGTAAATAAAGTTCTATTGGAACACAGCTGTGCTCACTTGTTTGCATACCGTCCATGGCTGTGCCACAATGACAGGGTTGAGTACTTGCCACAGACACCACATGGCCTGCGAAGTCTAGAATATTTACTCTCTGGCCTATTGCAGAAATCCAGACTTGAGGTCAGAAAGGCCTGGTGCCACAATGAGACTGTATGGGACAGATTTGATAAAGGCCAAAAATGAGAGCTGTTGTAGAGGTTGTAGGGCCTAGTAGGCTAGATCAGAGAGGCTATGTCAAGGGATTCCTTCTCCGATGAAAAAAGAGTCAGGATGAAGACTGGCTCTTGGATCTCCTCACATTTAGGATGCAAAAGGAAAATGCCTGGCGGAAAATGCCTGGCAACAAGAATGAAGGAAGGAAGGGAGATAATAAGAGGAAGTCAGTGTCAAGCTACAGAATGGCCAAGCATACTAAGCTAATGAAAATTCTGCTACATTTCATGATTAGAAGATAGTTGGTGGGCCTAATAGGATAGAAATCAAAGGAGAAATTCTTTAAACAGTGTCTTCTGCATCTGTTAAAAAAAAAGAAAGGATTTAGGTTGAGAATAAAAGAGTAAAGATAGAGGAGATCGTACTTCAGAAAGCAGGGATACAGAAAGATTAGTCTCAAAAGGAAATAAAATTGGCTTTTCCTTAGAGAAATGGTTATTAGAAGGATAGCTATAGAGAAAATCAAAGTGGGAGAAAAGTCAATGGAGAATTTTATTTTGTATGACAGTGAAGTAGATTGAGGTACTTTATCTAATAATAGAGTGGATGGAACACAATTGAAAACCAGGTGAGTTAGAATTAAGTCCTGACACAGCCATTGATCAGCTGTGGAAACCTTGGGCAAGTCACTTAGTTTTCTGGTTCTCAATTTCCTGATAAAATGGGAGAGTTGACTGAGGCATTCTAATGTCTGTCTTTTCAAAATGGGTTTTGGTATACTGAAAGCAGAAAGTTGGAATTTTTAGGAAAAATAGACAAGAGTTGAAACGATAAGAGTGAAAGTGAACCAAAGAATTCAAGAGTGTTATACTGGTAAACCAGGTTTGAGAGAAGAGCAAGAAGTCCCTATTGGTAATGTTTGCTGTAATTTCTGTGGTGTAAATATTCCCATGAAGCTGATTTCAAGCCACCAACCAGCTCACAAGATTCCTGAATATTTGACAGTCGACTTTCTAGGCTGGTACTGACTGACTCCAGGACATCACTGGACAGATTTGCCAGGTACCAGTAAGACTGAGTACTAGATTAGATACATGCATTTGTTACAGGGTAGGTCTAGTGAAGTTCCTCAGCAGTGTTCCCACCTAAGGAGAGAGCCAGAGATCATTTAATGTGAAGCCTTGGGCCAAGTTTTGAATCTCAGAGAAGCCAGGTTCTTTGGGTGTGGTTGCAGGGGATTGGGACCCGAGTTAATGAATCTGTACTGTGAATAAGGACAGTGTTGAAGTAGGTACTGCCTGAGGATCAGAAGGTACTAGAAAATTTAAAGTATTCATACTTTCTGCTTTTACAAATAGAGAGCATCTTAAACAAATAGTTAAGGTGTATTTTTTTTTCTTACTCAGATTCAAATGTTAAAAAGTTTAGTTATAATTGTGATAGAGAAGAATCCTTTGTTTCTAACATAGGAGGAAAAACGGTTCATGTATAACTATATAAGGGAAATTCAAGAAATAAAATACATATTGAAAACAAAATTCTTAATTTTCCAATTAGCATAGTTACCTTGAGGTTATTAACTTTTTTTAACTGTACTTTTTATAATCCATGGTGATTATAGTGTCTCATAATACAACATGGCTAACATTGTCTTTTAAGTTTTTTCCTCTTTACCTAGAAATAAGTTTTCCAGTATGATACTGACTTTTCTTGTGGAGATATAACCTTAATGTATGTCTCTTTTCATAAGTATTTTTAGTGATATAATTACTTAAGAATATTAGCTTCCCTTCCCTTAAATTTTCTTTTTGCATCTTATAGAAAGTTTTAAGCCAGTAAATGAATATTGAAAACAAGTATAAAACCCATCAGTGGAAATAGAGACTAATAACATGCCATCCAGGAATTTTTAGGAATCATTAAAATGTACATGTAGATGTGTGTCCTGATTTTATTTATTTTAGGCACAGTTACAGTTATCCTAAGTCATTTAAAATTACTTTTGGGGCAGTTTTAATAAATGACATATCTTATGCCAAAAAAAATTTATCATCACTGATATCTTAAGAACTAAGATGTCTCCAATCAGCCTATTATGTTAGAATAATCTTATGCTTTAAGGTAGATGTCAGTATAGTCATCCTCTGATTAATTCACTGCCGCTCTTCCAAAGAGCTGAGGGCTGATGAGACTACAGGTAGTTTCTTGCCCTAAATTTCAGATAAAATGGATTTCATTTTAAGCTGTGGCATCATTGACAGGCTTAGGTGTGCCAGCCATTATGGCCAAAGTTTCTTTACCAAGTGATGCTGCATGGAATAGCTAATTGTCGAACTTCAGCAGAAGTTGGATAACAGTTCAAATGTACTCTTGTATCACAGAGTCCAATGAAAAGCAAGAGAGATTGTTTTTCCGCTTGGCTGCCAATCGCTGTGCCTCTGATTCCTGTATTCCTTTCTACTTCAGTTTTGAATTGATCATAGAGGTCAATATTTCCTCCTTTTTCTCTTCCCTTCCCCATTTATCCACTGTAGGTGTTCAGCATGTTTTTGGAGACTCTGGTGGACTTCATACAAGTCCACAAAGATGATCTTCAGGATTGGTTGTTTGTACTGTTGACACAACTGCTAAAAAAAATGGGTGCTGATTTGCTTGGGTCTGTTCAGGCAAAAGTTCAGAAAGCCCTTGATGTTACCAGGTAAGATTTTCTTCATGTATTTCAAGTTTACCCAACAGTAATCAAGAATATTTAGTTTTTGTGTTAAAAGTTCAGATTTCTGAGCTCTTTCAAACCATACAGACTGCATGAGCTCCATTTGAATGCTAATGATGCCCATTCACATGGTCTGTTTAATGCAGTGTTGGTCCTTAGTTCAAACACTGCATTTCATCTATAAAAATTTTTTGACATTGGTTGAGTAATTCAAGGTGGTATTTTTGTAACTAAAATGTGTTCAAAAAGTAGAGTTGAAGGTTTTATTCAATCTAATGTAAATGTAAAAGTATTTTCTAACTTTGAAAAGAATGTTTTATTATGCATTCTTTTTTCAGAAGATTTTGAACCAATGATAATATTTCTACTTTCTTGTGTAGATTGTTGAAGTGACTTATTTCAAATATCCATTTACTAAGTTGAGGTGAGTCTAGAATTCACATATTAGGTATGGAAACATCTCTGATAATGTTGAAGTTTTTACTGAATACATTTCTGATTAAATCTATAGCTGAGACAAGATAGACCATTATTTGCTATAGCGTCACTTTTTAACGCCCTGCAGGGTATAAACGTTCAGATTCTCCTGGGAATAGCTTGCATTGTATACTTTACCACATAGACTATACCACATACAGATCCTACTTCATGCATGCTTCTTGAATGACGTTATGTTTTGACGTTATTAAGCATAATCTATTGTTAGGTTTGCTAAATGCTTAATTGCTGACTTAGTTTTTGTTTTATTTTGCTGTGTTCTTATTTCAGAGAATCTTTTCCAAATGATCTTCAGTTCAATATTCTAATGAGATTTACAGTTGATCAGACCCAAACACCAAGTTTGAAGGTAAAATTTGAGGTCTTTCGAAGACTTTGTAAGGAATTGAAGTGTTTTATTTATAAAATTATGTTGATATTTATATTTCTGTTAACATGAGAAGCTCTTCAATCAGTGGATTTTGTTTTTATAAACTTTCAGACAGTCAAGCCAGCACTTCGGGACCAGCTTCACTCTTTTTGGAGCTCCAAGGTTTTTTGGTTTTGTTTTAATCTGCATTATTTCTTTTCTTAACTCTCTTTACAAACTCTGCAGTGTTTCAGATAATGTTTGTACGCATCTATATATTCAACTACTAACCTTTGGAAGCCTGTTAAGCATGCACAGATTTGGTTTCAAATGTTATTCAATGCTGGACTGTCTTTTGGAGAAGCTTACTGGGGATATACATTTAGAAGGCAATGCCAGTATGGCCATCTAACCCTAAGCTGTTGTGCAGGCTTACTCTATACAGTCTTACCTAATTTTATGTTTGTAATTTCCCAATACTTTTTTTTTTAAGTTTAGGGGTTTAGATAGCTATTTGGGGCAAAATGTCAGTTTTGCCTGTGTATTTAGTAAACAAAAATTTTTAAGTTTAATCTCAGTGTGATTCTCCAGTTCTCCTTAACTAAAACAGTAACTTTTTTTTTCTTTTTGCAATGTGATATTTCTGATATGTGCATAAAATTCAGGGTTAGCTTTTCATTTGTTACTAGCACACATTTTTGAGTTAATTTTTATAAAAACTAGGTAGATTCCAATTTTTAATTAAAAATAATTATTAAATTTAACATTAAAAAATAACTTAATATAAAAGATGTGCCCCCGAATTCTTTACTAAAGATGTTTCTTAGTGAGTTTTCTTAAATGAGATTAAAGTCAGGGAAATAACAAGCATATGTGCATTGGCAGGCCTTGAATTATTCTGCTCTTTTCTGCATGAAATATATTTCCACAAGCATTATTGCCTAGGATTGATTTTCCTTTAAGTTTCTGAATATGATTTTGCCTTAAAATCACAATTGTGTTTCTTATCGGGGTTGATTTATACTCAACATAATGTTATTTTCTCAGAGCTGTTTGTGACAGGGGTTCCATCTGTTTTAATTTTTAAAAATAACCTGCAGAAGGAGAATAATTTACTTGATATTACTGATAAATTTTTTTTGCACTTATTCTTTGTCTAAGCCATTGTGCTAGGCATTTCTAGGAACATAAAACTTATAATTTTTTATCATTATTATTTATAATGCATGATAAACTGTAAACTTTGATAAGGTTATGATTTGTGTACTGGTGGTAGGTATTCAAGTGCTGTGGAAAACCTGTGTATATAGTGTGCTGTGTATATAAAGATTTTTCGTGAACCAATGGAAATGAAGATCTGAACCATTAGCTTGAGAAATAAGAGTGACAAAAATAAAAAATTAAAAAGAAAGAAAAAAAAAAGAAATAAGGGTGACAGGTGAGTTAAAGGAGAGACTAAAGTTGCTGAGAGGGCCTGAAGAGAAAGACCGTGGGAAGCAGACAATTAAAACTAACTTCCCTATTGGAAACGGTTATGCTGGAGACTGGAATCAGACTGTTTCTCTAAAAGCCATATATATATATATGTGGCTTTTATACTATATATTATGCTTTATATTATATATACACATATTGTATAACATGCTGTGTACACACATGTAAAGCTGTAGGGGAAAACCACTCTTCAGCTCGTAAATTGATGTTTTAGGATAGCAAGAAGTAATACCTTAATGCTGAAAATAAAAGTAAATTTCAGATGGTTGACAGGATTAAGAATTAAAAACTTAACAAGTTATAAAAAACACAAGTAACTTAAGTATGAGATCTTTAAAAATTCTTTCTTGAAAAGGTGCTGGGTCTTTCAGATAAAATTTTACATCTCTCACAGAGTATCATGTGGCTAAATGTCAGAAAGGAAGCAATAGAATGGGGGGTTGGCAATACAGAGTGATTTTATTTGAGTAAGTAGTGTTTTAAAAAGTAAATGTAATTTTATTGACTTCTTTTTCTGGGTTTCACAAACATGCTGTAGAGTTATACACACCTTAGGAACTGTATTTTTCCTCTCTTAAGAGGACTGCATGTTTATGTTATTAAAAGTACATACTATGTATTAACCTTATGGAATATCCTACCAAAATGTAAATTTTCAAATGATTATATGTGTATTATGGTTATTTTGCCTTATAGTATAGTAAACTATATATGGTATAGTAAATGCATCTGTTCTGTGAAACCCTTTTAAGCCTTTCATGCCTGTTTACATTGCCAAAACACTACACTAACTGAATCTCATACAGTGCAGATAAACCTATTCAATTATTGATGGTAGCAAATTGAAAACAAAATACATTAATGTTCATTCTTTGATTTTCTGTAGTCACCTTTCAGCTCTGATACTACACTGATAGAAAGTGGTGTGGCTTCAGAAATCCAAAATGGCACATGCTGCCATTTAGTTGCACTTGTTACTCCAGAATTAACCATGTCTCTTTCCCTCTTCCCTGTACATTTCACTTAAGATGGCTGATAGGGTAACTCCTGTTTTTTCCCAATGCATCTCTTAAACTTATAGTTACTTCTTAAAATTCATTTATTGTGAAATGAAGAATGTAAATTGATGCTTTCTATCTTAAAAAGCATCTTAAAAATGCTTTTTTTTTTTAAAAATGCATTTAAAAAAAAGCAGCTTAAAAAAGCTGCAAGCAGAAAGGGGAAGATGTGCAAGAATCAGAACTTACTTCCTGTATATTAATTTGACATAGTACTTCCCAGAGACCTTATTTGGACTGAGTGAAAAGAATGACATCTTAAGATCAATAACAAGGGAGGAAAGAGCATAGAGGACCTGATTACTTTCACCTTTTACAGTGTTTTTTCAAAGTTGCTGTTTAATCATATAATTAAACTTTCCTTTTTGTAAGTCAGCAAATCAACATTTAATATGTATTTAGCATCTGCTGTAGCCAAGGATTATACACTATACCAGGTGCTATCTCTAAAGTACACTGGTAAAGTCTTAGAGAACCATTATTTAGAAACCCTAGAATGTAAAAAGATGTGACTTTAAAAACAGTGGTTCTGGTTTTTTCTGTGTTTTTTTTTCTTTTTTTTTGCCACAACACACCTGCGGAAGGTGAGATAACTTAACAGCGGCTCACTCTAAGGATAAAGAAGGCTGCGTCTAAGAGAGAAGCATGTGTGCTTTGCCCCACCTCCTGCTGGTTTTGAAGCCTGCAGTCTACCACACATCTATTCATATAACTCTTTTATACAAATAAGTATTGTCTCTTCTCCACTGGTACTTGGGTAAAACTTTTTTGTTGCATTTCTT